ACTTAACGCCTGTTTTTGGGTCTTTTTCGGTTGCTTCTGTTGCTTTTATATCTAAACCTTAATTCACTTTTGTATGTTTATGAAAGAATCCTGCCAATTTGGAACCAAATTTAAATCTCAAAATGATTTTAGACTGTGATACAATAAAATGATTCAATGTTTTTTGTCCTTAGTGCTTTCCAAATATAATGAATTTACACTTACCTGCCCTTGATTGAACATTAGATATGCATGAGAGGTGGAGCTAACATTGTAAATATGGGTCTAAAATTAGACTTGATAAATAACAATGACATGTTTGAAAAAAGAACGTGATCACTCTTTCCAATCTCCCTCTCCATTCCATATGGCACAAATAGACTTCTGACAAAGGTTTCAAAACGAAACTAACAATATGAGCACGTCAATGTAATTAAAGCATTGTATATCCATGCCAGATGACTTAACGTGTTCGAACACAATGTCCTAGTTAGCACAAAACATGCTACCTTACAAGTCACGTGACGGAATTTAGTATTCACAAAGTTACCTGAGGTAGGACATCACGCGGTTAATTATAATATTCAACATGTCACAATCCTTGGTTACAACACAGAGAGCGAATGTAAGAAGAAGCAGTTTTTTTCTCTTTTTAACCATGAGCGCATGTTTGTCTATTAATCTCCTTTTGACACATTATTATTTATGCAAATATACAACTGCTGTGAAACGGAGAACAATAGACAAACATGCGCTGACTATGTATAAAGTCAGTAAAAAAGTGGGCGTCCTCATTATCGTACGGAGATTCAAGAAACTGTGATGACCCCTGCCTTTGAAAACAGATTCGAACTTCGTAAATACACACTTTTATTAAACGTAATTACATAAAGTTGCAGATTGGATGTTGGCCATTCTTGCAATGAAAAGAAAAATGCTTGTTTTGAAAGTTTATTTTGTCGCAATTTTCGCATGTCCTTAAGTGCAGTCATCCTTGTTCTGATGGTACTAATGACTTTACGCTGTCCCAGAATAACTTCTTTTATCGACTCACTGGATTAGCAATAATGTGCTCATTTTGACTTGTACCATCTTCTAGCAGTTGGGATCTTCATGTTTTAAGTCTTACTCGATTTCTTCTTTTGATATTAGCATCTGTCCATATATAATCTCGCATGGAAAAATAAAATCTTCTGGGGTTTGTCACATGTCCGGTCCTCTTCATAGCTGAATTCCTGTTGCTTGAGTGTATTTGCAATTATTTCTTCTTTAAAGAGCCCTCTCAGGCTTCGCCTTATTTCTTTCCCCACTGTTTTTCTCCATTCATTTGCTAACCGCTGCAATTTTTTTTCTTACTTAACCCCTCTTTTCTACGGAAGCCCATTAGACCTATCAAAGAATATTTTTGAAATCGATATAAAGAATTGTCGAATTTGCTATAACGAATTAAATTCGTTATAACAATTTCTTGAATTCGTAATACGAATTGAATTTGTTATAACCGATTTGTATAATTTGTTACAACGAATTCAAAAATTTATTACAACAGATTAAATTCCTTTAAACAAATTCTAAAATTTGTTATAACAAATTAAATTCCTTTGAACAAATTCTTAGGTTTGTTATAACGAATCAAATTCATTTAATCAAATTCAGTAATCATGGCCTATAGAAAAATATATATGAATTTGATATATCGATTTGTCGAATTCGTTTTAACGAATTTCATTCGTTAAAACAAACTTAAGAATTCGTTTTTAACAAATTTAATTCGTTAAGTTTTAGAATTTGTTATAACGAATTTAATTGTTATAACAAATTTTTGAATTCGTTATAACGGAATCAACAAATTTGTTTTAATGAATTAAATTCGTTATAAAAAAATCGACAATTCGTTATATCGAATTCAAAAATATTCTTGATATATTCTATATGGGCTTCCGTACTTTTCACATTGGAAATCTCTCTCTGTGTTTTTCTGCCCTACTTGTGCTGCATGTGTTTCAAGATCTTTTCCGACATTTTGTCTAGAATTGTACCTTCGGTTACTTATACTATTTTTGATATTCTCGTTGGTTTTTGTGTTGCTGTTCGGTATGCATTAAATCAGAGCTGTCCAAGACCCTTACATGTATCTGCTTGTTCCAATAATGGTAATATTTAGGAGCACTGTTAATACAGCCATCTCCCGTCTTGTCGTAAGTAGCGCGTTCTTTCTTCTATCTCGGAAGTGTAATTTTTTATCCTAGACTAGTAAGTGGCATTCCTTTACTTCTCTCATTACTCCTGTTATTTGCAATTAAACAAAACCTGACGTAAAATATTTTGTTCTTCTCTCTTTTGAAAGATTCTGAATAGGTTTTGCACTGTGTTCTACGTCATATATGGTTTGTAGTATTAATTAAAAAGATAGCATGTTTTGATGCCAACCCATCTTGCCAAAGTTCCGTATTTTCTGAATCTATCTTGTACTTTAACAACTAATGGAAGCTATAAGCCCGACCCCTTTTTTCCGAGTATAGTATGTTGCTATAGTAAATTTTCCTTTTGATGCTGGTTGCCCCCCCCCCCCTTCCCACTTTTTGATGTAGTAAGGTCGAGCAGTGGCAATTTCCAGGATTTGGACAGTAATTTTTTTTTTGCTTGTCAGATTTTTTTTTTTTGGGGGGGGGGAGTCCCCCCCCCCCCCCACTTTTGAAATCGTTGATACAGGTCTGCATGTAAATCCTAACGTACACAGTCTTGGGTTCTTGATGATACATTATACTTTCGTCAGCAGCACCCTTTGAATAGCTGTAAATATGCATTATATGCAGGTGATTGGCTCCTGTTATTCTTTCCTTATCTAACAGATGATAGCTGCTTTACTGGATCGTGTCGCGTTTCACCCGTCCGCTTGTTCATAGCCGTTGATCACCTTCCACATATTTATACCTTTCATGTCTGGCTAGCTTTTTTGCGCATATTTATCTTTCAACTCTCAAGCATGCGCGGATCTTAAAGGAGGGGGTGTTAATTGTACATAGTAAAGTAACTAAAAAAATGACGTTGGACCCCCCCCCCCCCCCCTTCATTGAAAACGCAGACCCCTGTTGAGTTGGTAGGAAGAGTCAAACAAGTGAAGGAAAGCGGCTCACCTGGGTCAGTATCGATTGACATGAATTAAACAAGTGCTCTTGTGACTCAGTCCTTACTTCCCAAAACTATCTTGGTGCTGACAAAAGGCATCGCTTATGCAAAAAAGAAAATGCTGCAAAGCAGTAACTCAACCATGCATATATTGACTTATGTACCGGTATTTCATACAAATTGTTAGGCCATGGCATTATTTCCATACTTTACGCCATTAAACACAATCAAGACAAAAGGCACATGACAGGTGTGATCGGTCGACAGGGGATGTTTACTCCTCCATTGCATCTGATCCCACCTCTGATGTATTCATATGTCTGTTTTTGTTCTGCTCTCAAATAAATATTGTTTTAGTGGACTTTGAGCACATTTACTGCTCGTTATCTACACATTTCATTGTGCAATGATCGCACAAGGAAGAGTAGCTTTTGAATTCCCATTTCCACACCTTACATGTTAGAATGTGTGTTCGAGACCCCCCCCCCCCCCCTAGATTTACTACTTACGCACTATTTGGTACTTCCTATAAAAGGTTAAACTTCAGTAGCATTAGTGTCCGGCCTCTTTGAAACTAGAAGGAATGGAAGATTACTTTTCCCAGTGCGTCGACCGCGTGGCGCAGTGGTTAAAGCGTTCGCTCTAGAGTCGCGGAGTAAGGAGTTTATCCTTATGTCGCGGGTTCGAATCCCACTGTGGGACGTGGATGAGACCGTATAAACCGAGGTCCCGTGTCGCAGTAGGTGCTGGCGAAAAAGATCCCTCACTGCTCAATGGCCCTGAGTGCCAAGTATAGGTCAAAATTTGCAGCTCTCCATCGGCAAGTGGTGGCGTCTCCATACGAGTGAAAAATTCTCGAGAGGGACGTTAAACAATAAAAAAAACAAACAAAAACTTTTCTCAGTACAAATTTTCCCAAGAGTACCAAGAATTAATTTCAAAGCAACAATATCCCCTCCTAAATGTAACTTAATTACGACTTCAATAATATAATGTTGCTAATAAGCAACTGTATAATGAACGCAGATCATTAAATTTACTTTGTGTTGTGACAATGCATTTCCTCCAGAAATACAAATACAGAAATACAAAGGATGGTATGAAAACTACATGTAGTACGGCACCAACAGGTTGAATGCCCTACCTTAGAACCAATCCTGAATCGTATTGGCCTAAGGTTACCTTTTTTGTGGTTATATCCTAATACCTTATTGATTTTACCGAGTAAATGCCGTTAATGTGGTTTTTATCCTTGAAATAGTTCATTTTTATGTACATATCCTTTAGTGTGGTTATATAAAGTACTCTTATTGTTAAATCTGGCATCATTAAAAAAAACAAACACACAGTTGTTCTTTGATTTAAAAAGTTAAATATTTAATCTTATAGGTGTACGTGATGAAGATATTAAATTTGAGTAGAATATACTCAGTAATTTAAAAGGGTATTTTTCAGAAATGGACAAAATTTAATTTTTCTCTGAGGATATGCAATTAAGGAAAACTTGTCAGGCTAATTTATTTTAGGCACTTTTTTTTTTTTTTTTTTTTTTACAAAATAGACTTCATCTTTATTGCATCTTAGTGGAAGAAAAGTCCATTTGATTTAAAACCTCGTTCTTTTTGCATATTTGGCGTCAGTAAATTCAGTTTCGAAAAGGTTATAGGATGACATATTATTATGTCAAACAACAAACAAAAATTCAAAATATTCATGTTATCATTTATTAGCAGCATATCTATTTCTTTCTATAGTTTAATATAGTTTATTGTGGTGCCAAATTTTCTAATGTTAATCGCGTTGCTGCGTGTGTGTTTCTTCGGCACATTCAAAGGCATGAACTCATGAAATATAGGGAATACAAAGCAAACTAAGTATATGTAGCCCTGAAGCATTTCTCGTTTCAGCATGCGCCTTTCATTAAATGAATTTGCTGATTTATTTATAATATTCTGGCGATAAGGTGTCATAAAGATATAGATGTCGTTGTTATTTGCATTGTCTGTCAGCAAAATATCTTCAATATCTATTTTTAATTAACCCTACATTCACAGCAATGTCATCTGTGTACTGTGACCTGATATTCACACTGTATGCTACTCATATTTTATGAAAAATTAAACCCATGAAAATGAAGTTAATATTGCTAATAATCCTAATATCCTGAGATTTGATGAAGACCTTTCATTTCAAAGTCATCAAAAATAATGTTTATCGACCCAAGTTCTATTCACTACCTAGCAACACAACTTTTATATTTACGGCTAATATTGGGTTGATTCTTTTTCTATCTGTTCAAGATGCGTTTCTGGAGGTTACAGTACCGCAATCACAAAACCAATCCCTTTTCTTAATTTCTAGCTTTCATTCTCCTCTTGACTGTACGTACAACATTCTTTATTCAAAATTTCGCAATTATAAATTGAAATTGGTATTCATTACCCCTTCTATGAAACAGGTCATATGAAAGACAGGGGATTTGGGTGGGAATACAATATCATATTCACCTATACGTAATAAATATTAATTTAAATAAATATAAAGATTTGAAAGCACATGTGATCTGCATTGACTAAAGTGTGACAGAAGACTAGGATTTTCTTGTATCAAGATAAAAGCAATCCTGGAATTTGTCCTTCCAACATATTAGTATCTATTGCTCCTCCACCGTAATCCGAGAAAGTAACCTCGCCGTCTTTGAAAGGCACAGAGTGGTGGCCATTCTTTCCTTTCCACGACCAATCGGTGTCACCTAGCGTCAAACAGACGCGGTATTGACGGTCTGGCTGGATTTCCACAGCTTTTTGAAATTTGACCTCGTAATGCTTGGTTTCAGCATCGGATTCGAAACAAAAGTCTTCAAGAACTATTGTATTATCATCCTGATCAATAAGTTTGACATAAATTGTAACTTTGCTACTTTCATGGCTTAATCCATATGTAACGATTCCATGCATTACGCATTCTACAGAAGACTCAAAGACGATTATATGTTCTAGATCGTCTAGTACCATTTCTTCTTCACATTCTTCCATTCTCATTACTCTCTGGCAAACATTTCTTGGTTTGTGTTTAAACATTCTGTGAGATAAAGTCCTGCCAATGTCTCTCCAGGCTGGGGTTCTTACTTCTCTTTTCTCATCCTCTGTCAAAATACGTCTCTTTTCAATTGATGACTGAAAAAAACGAGCATCCATATTTTGAAATCGTATCTCGTACAAAATACCCGAATCTTTCAGAACCTTGCGGATCTCCTCGTCATTTTCCTTTAAACCTCTTCTTTTGCACTCTTCCTCACACCACCTCATAACGCTTCTATAAATAGTTTCCTCCTTTACCTGATGGTGGTGGTCATCTGCGATTATTCTTCGAACACACTCTGGTGGAAGCGTCAGGAAGTAGTCAGATTGTAGACACTGTTCCGTTCCTTGATTGATTATTTTCATGCTATCTGCCATCAGATCTTTCAAATCAAACAAAAAAGCTTGGTGATATATTTCTATAGCGTTTTCTGCTTCCATGAGGTTTGCCTTCGTTATAAACGTCTGGCAATTGTCAGAAAGAGTCTGAACTATATATTTTCTGGCTAAATACAGTATTGCCATGACATTATTTGCCGTCGGTTTAACGTCGTCTGTGTATAAATATCTATAAATTGAAGATACAAAAAAGAAATTATATACCCGTATGTACTACAATGTACATTGACTTGTACAATCCCTGAAAAACTGCACAGTGAGAATAAAAATGTAAGTGATCGAACCTGAGAAAACATTGAACAATTTCTACTTCCACCTCTGGTAAGGACACTATCGCTCTCCCTTCTTGGTCTCGCTCAGTCATCGGGCTCATCAACATAGCTTCAAACACGTGACTTCGTGCAATCAGAACAAAACTGTGACAACTAACTTCATCTAAATTCTCCCCAACAAGAAATTTGACGTCACAGGAAATCTCCTGCTTCAGCATGTGGAGAAGTGCATCTTTTAAGGACAGTGAATCTTGCCAAGATGAGGTTGCCATTCTATCAAATTAATAAATCAATTAAGTTAACGTCTTACCAAGAATAAGTTTTCCCCTTTTTTAAAAATAAGAAAATTCGGTTAACTGCAATTTAAAACTTCAGAAAAGAATGGAAACGTACAAGGCGAGGACAATCTCCTGCTCCGAGACAAGATATGTCTCAATTCTAAAATGCCATGGAAAAGTTTCATTTTTCAAAAATTGTGTTGACAATATCATCATTTAATTTCTTTATTTTATTGAATTATTGATAAATACTTCATTTTTCATAAAAGTTTTTAAGGTATGTGAAAAGAAAAAAAAAGTGCCTCACACACGATTCGAACACTCTGCAAAGCCTGGCAGTAATGCATAATTAAACGCATTAACCACTGTGCTACGGAGTCTTTTTATGAATGATGTGTGTCAGTATGGTTTACATAAACAAGTTTGTTGGAAGATAACTTTTTTCAGAAATGTTCGATTTTCATATAGAATGGGTTCAAACTCCATTTATTTTCTACATAAAAAAGATTTCTCATTCATTTTCCCGTCATTTATATGTAATGTAGAATGGAGACTTGACCCATTCATATTAGAAAATCATTTTTTATGGCTCCAGTAAATGCATTTTCCTTAAATATCAGGCCCGTAGGAAGCAATTTCACTTTGAGGGGCACAAACATACATTTTCGGTTGGGGGGGGGGGGGCACTATCAACAAAATTCCAAAAGAAGCAAAAAAAAGGTCATCAGACATTATTATTGAGGGGGCACAAGCATATAGTAGCTATGTTTTCTATAGTATTCTAGAACCCCCCCCCCCCCCTCCGGTTCCTACGGCCATGAATATGCTTAATTATAAACTTTTGGTTTTGAGAACTATTTAAGATCAATTAAAAACTTTGAACATAGAAGAAATTTAACATGCTTTCGTATATCAGCCCATAGACTCCAAATTGAAAGGGGACGATACCAAAACATTCCTCAACATGAAAGGTTTTGTCAGAGATGTAACAACAATTCAGTTGATGATGAAAAACATTTTTTATTCTGCTGTAGTCATGTTAAAGAAGAAAGGGCCATTTTGTATAAGATGATAGAAAAATATTGTAAGAATTTTGATAAGATGGACAATGACCAAAAACTCATATGGCTAATGACCAATGAAAATGTTGACAATCTTACTCAAATCTGTAAAATGATTCAGAACAATGGAATATGATTCCTGAAGAATTGTATCGTTATGCATTACATTTCAAGTTATATAACAGGATCTTTTATAAGCTGTCTTGGCTACCTTGGGTACAAGACTGACAGTCCATACCATCAGACTGTTCAAAAAGCACCGTCCCTTGGTACCCAAGGTAGTCAGGCCAACAAGTTAAGTTTTCCTTCTGTAAGCTGCCTTGGTTGCTTGGGGTACAAGACCGAGCAAGCTGGTTCTTCTGAAATACATATTGCCAGACTGTTCAAAAGGCATCATCCCTTGGTACCCTATGCTGCCAGGCCAGCAATATATATATTCCCCACTTCTCCATATATAATTTGTAGAGCCACAAACTGATCTGCTTTGTTATACTTTCATTATGACAGTAATTTTATGATTACTTGCTTACTGTAACTACTGCTTCTTAATCTAGTCTGTTCATTGAAGTGTACAGCAGTTTGGTTTTCCTTTATATTGCATGTGATGCTTATATTTCATTGTATGAACCATACCAGTAATTTAATTTAATTGTAAGTTGAGAACACTTGCAAGTGAGGATCAGGTCAATACTGCACCCAATGCTGCCATTACTTGTTATAATCATGATTGTATTGTTTTTAATTGTACATGCCCCTTGAGGGCCCTTCATTGGTGAATAAACATTTATATATATATATATATATATATATATATATATATATATATATATATATATATATATATATATATATATATATATATATATATATATATATATACATAATGTAAACTTCGAAACACAAATTGTCAATCAATTTATTTAATAAAATAAATAAACCTAATGTGTTCATAAAGATAACATTACTGACAACATAATTTTTGAAAAATATAACTTTTCCATGAACTTTGAAAAATTGATATTATATATTGTCTCAGAGCAAAGAATTGTCTCATCCTTGCAGGCCCTCAATCTTTAATGTACAATTGCAAAAATAATCCTATCTTATTTTTTGTTTATCTATTAGATAAGCATTTTTTAAACCACTGCATGTGCATAAGTAATGATGATAAGTCTTTTCTCAAACAACACAGGATTTTGTTGTACATATCAATTTCTAAAATTGCTTTATCATGAAAATATTTCTGGAAAATACCTTGACATTGTTTTTATTTTCCTATTCTTTTCCTTTTCACCAAGTATGATACAGACTACTGCAAATGTTATTATTTTACCTCGACAATTTCACTTTTTTTCTTTTTAAATGTGTGCAAAACGAGAACACACTAATCAACCCCCTATCTTCCCTTTCCTTCTATTGATCGCCGAGATTACCTTAGGCCAAACAAAAAATGTGTGGTTCCGGTTACACTTCCAAAAAAATTGGGGTAGGTAGGTAGGGATTTTTTTTTTTTTTTAACAAAATGATTTTCTTAATTTTTTCTAAATAATACAATGTACCTATCACTGCTTTGCAAATTGCATTTAGATGTGGTGTGATAATATACTAGTCAATATTGGTAGGGGACACCTACATGCTAGCTTGCTTTGGATTTAACACCATTAAACACTTGCACTATGTTTTGCAAGGAGGCCGTCATTGCTGAAACTAAAACTTAAACTGGAGCCATTGATGGAAATTGGGGGAAATTCCGGAAAAAATATGAAAATTGCCAGAAAAAAGTTTAGGGTTGGGGTATAAAATAGGGAAGGTCGGGTAACCGGAACCACACATATTTTTTTTTTATTTGGCCTTAGTATACATTTATTACAGAAACAAATGTCTGTGGTTTGAGCTCTATTGAACGACACAGTATTTTACAAATAGGCTGTTTTAAAATGCATGGGAGTTGGGACAACTATTTATAGAGAGATTTGGGGGGGGGGGGGGCAGACAGAGGACAAAGTAAAAAAACGGGAATCAGAACACTGCAGAAATGGGAAGAAAATGTGAACAAACTTATATCGGAATTAAAAGGTCCTGTGGAAATGATATATTTTGTGACTTCCTTTTTAAAAAAGAATACTCACCTTTTATAAGACCTTAATTAAGAGTCTTACATAAATAAATCAACGTAAATATTTCACCCTGGTGCATTTTCATTTTAAACCTACTTTCATTTTCGGTTCATTTAGGAACGAGTTAATCAATAATCTGTACAGGTCATGTGACACATTTGTTTTCGTTTTTGGAATGGAGCAAGAAGACGAGATGTGAACGATATAATACAACATGTAGCATGCACTGAAGAATTTAAAATCAAAGAAAAGGACGGTAATAATTTATATCTAGTGTGTTTTACTCCCTGACAATTACATTGTTAGTTAATGCTCCATGATTGGTCAGTAAGCAGGTAAACACGACTGTTTTTCAGCTGGTACAGAACAATATTGTATTGCATTTGGTCAGGTGATAGTCATATGCAAGACAATTTTGCATTTTACATCTATGTGAATGATAATAATGAATATGTAGCAGTTTATATTTTATTAGCCAATTCATCACTAACCTGTAAATGATGTGTAATATTTTTAATTAAAATGTGTCTAAATAGGGTGCAATACATAGATATACTTCCTTGTGACAAGCACTAAAGCATCAGATTTTGATCTATTTCCATATAAATGACTTTTCTTTCTTTTCTTGTACATGTTTGTTTATTAATCAAGATGTGTATAACTTGTAGTTGATTGGAAAGGTTTTAAAAAAACATGATTCCTTTTGAAAAGTGCTGTCATTATTGATTGATGTTAATTAATTGCATTTATTTTTCCCCTCAAAGGTAGCCATGTCTGTGCCAATTGTGCCATTTACTGGCAGCAGGCAGCAAGTTTCCCCTTCACCTGGACCACAAATGTCCTCATCTCCAACATTGGTGTCTTACCCTCAGAATGACAAGATTATACACGACATATCAGGTAAATAGGCGACAGTATAAAAACCTATAGGAATATTATTTAGTTAATTAATGAGTGCCAGTATTAAAATTATATGAATGAAATTTGATTAATTAGCCTTAAAGAAAAGAAAAAAAGATGACCTAGTAGGTTACTTATTAAACACTCATGCATATGTAAATATTCGTTAATCAGAATGTATCGCGGATATGAAGTCGGACTTTGAAGACAATCACCAGCCGATTACAGATGACAGTCAGCAACTACAGAGATTCTGTGCCAAGCTGGAATACTTGTTAAGAGCCGATATGAAAGGTCTCTACTACCTTTTTTGAAAATGTAGAAAATCATGAGATGTAACATTTAACATTCTTTCACTGACTTAGGATTTGCTTTGATCTTGTTAATTTTATGCATTATGTTTTTTTTGTTTTTGTTGTTGTTTGAAGATAAATACTCAATGCTGGGGAAGAAGAAGGATTACTGGGATTATATTTGTGACTGTCTGGGATCCACCAAAGGGATCAATGATGGGATTAAGTATGTCAAAACTCTTGGAGATGTAAGTGTTTTTAAGGTTCCCTGTAATACAACATTAAAAGGGGAAGTGAAAGTGTTCATTACTTTGTTTTCATATTCTTGAAAAACCATGTTCTTTTGAAATAAAAGACAAATTACTTTCAATTCATTTTTGTATTCCATCTGTAACTTTTATGCAGTACAAGACATCGGTAGGTAAAGGAAGAGCCTTTCTGAGGTTTTGTTTGATGCACAACAGAATGGCTGACAGCATACAGGCATGTATCATGAATGGAAAAGTTACAAGGTACTACCAACCTTATATATGTGTGCAATGCACACTATTCTGTTGTATAAAGTATCATTTAAGACTTTAAAAGAGTTCATTACATACATACCTGATTTAAGTGATGGAATATCTTTAGAAAAGCTAAAACTAATTCCAGCTTTATTTAAAGCATTGGAACAAAGAAAACAGATGTTAAGAACTTATTTCAAGATGAGAACCAAGAATTTCAATCATAAATAAGTACATGTAATTTCATTGAAATCAACCATTACAGATTTAATGCTGACTTATGGACAGTTCATACATTATTTCTTTGTTAATATCATTGTATTAATTTATAGTGATTATTTCCACCCAAAGTCAATCTGGCTGAACCATGACAAAAGCAGCAGCTTAATCAGTAACCTTTATGACCTCAGTGAACTCCAGTTTGATTTGGCTCCAAGGGGATATGACCTTGACAATGCTTGGCCATCATTTGCGAAGTATTTTTTAATTGTAAAAGATGCAATAATAGATGTAATCTACTTCATAGATATTCAAATTTTTTTTTTTAATTTTCATTATATTTTGAAATATTCTGATACATTTAGGAAAACTCAACAGGGGAACCACCACTGGAATCCACCAAGTAGAGCTGATAGTATGAGCAGTCTTATCAGTATACCAATACAGGTTAGTACACATGTATTACACTTTCCAAATTCAGCTTTCTGGAGATAAAAGAAAAAAATGATGTTAGGTAATCTTTGAAGATTTTTTATTGAAATTAAAAATGTATGTTAAAATCTTTTTTTTCAGGTAAATAATATGTTTTGTCTAAAATGATGTCTACGTGTATACAGTAAAACATGTTTATAGTGAATTGCCATGGACCAACAATTTTGATTCATTATAAGCATAATTTGTTATATTCCTACAGTGCACAACAAGTTTTCAAACAATGGGGAATAAAAATCACTTCACTGTTACCGTGAATCAGCTATATCCATGATTTACTGTATATCTGTGAAACATCTATTCACACATGTTTCTCTCATTAATCTTTCAGATTAGATATCTTTTTCTATTTTTTATGATTGTCTACTGCTCCTTTGTTAGCCAAACATGACACTCTGCACCTCTCCTCTTTTCAAATATTAATGCCTCAATCTTCCAAAATGAAAAAGAAGAGAGGAGCAGATTATCACCTTTGGTCAGTAAAGATGTGTCTACTGTAGCGAAATTTAAAAAACGGGGGAAAAAAACTGAAAACATGTTTACACACAGGATCGTCGAGGTGAGTCATTCAGTGAATCATATGATGTAGAGAACAGTTTGAGGCAGGAGTATGATGACCAGATCGAGGCTCTAGAACAGCAGAAGAAAAGTCTACAGCAATCTGTAGTCCACTCTAAAACAGACCTCGAGGTCCTTCAGGGGCAGTATAGTGAAATGAAGGCACAGCACGAGGCACTTACAGCAGAAAACAAGGAACTCCAGAGGAGGTGAGGCATTACTGTAAAACACACTTTATTCAAGAGAATTTTATATCTGCATAATTACGTGAGACCATCTGCTCACAAAATTTTATTCTCATGTATATTTGTATTATGGGAGGATTCTTGAATTTTTTTTCCTAGATTATAAATACAAAAAAACTTTCTTTCAAAAATAAGGTGTTGTGAAATTGGTGATCTAGAGAATGGTGTTTGTAAGGAACCTAAGGTTTAGGATCTAAGATGATGAAATGTAGTAGATTTTGAATTCTAGTTTTCATTTTACTTGAATTGTTAACATTTTGCTGTGTTGTATTCTAGCTATGATAGGATGTGTATAGAAGTTGAATCAAAGGAAACTGAAATCACAATGAAAGAAGAGGTTCACCAAAGAGAAATAAAAAGTGTAGAGGAGGATCTAAAGAAGAAAGAAGAGGTGGAGCTATTGCTTCAGGAGAAAATTTCTAAGCTGGAGAAATCACATCAGGACAGCCTTGAGAGCCACAATTCCAAGATCAAAGAGCTCAAGAAGAATAATGGGGATCTCCAAATGCAGGTATAGATTAACTTTTGTAAGTGTCAGGCTTGTTTTAAATTTTATTTGGGCAACAAAAAAGATCACCTCCATTCAAAAAAAAATATTGCTGATTCTCTCAACAAAGCAGTTTTAATTTATTTCTTTTTAACTTAGGATGAATTTGTATAACACATTGTAACTTGGCAAATTCTAATATGAGATAGAAAATTGAAATAAGTCCTACCACCTAAAAATAAAAAATGTCTAGTAGCCAAGGGCAAACAAGCAAAATTCTGAGTTACATCCTATCGTTTTAATGTATTTTTAGCTCACCTCGACGAAGTCGAGATGAGCTTATGCTATACCCCCGGCGTTGGCGTCGGCGTCGGCGTTAGCGTCGGCGTCCCGGTTAAAGTTTTAGGAGCAAGTCCCATTCCCAAGTTACTATAAGCCCTACCTGGACCAAACTTGCATGGATGATGCATCTAGAATGGACACTGCCACACTTGCTTCGGATGCTGGATCTGACCTAGATTTTCCAGATGAGTGACCAGGTTAAAGTTTTTGGAGCAGGTCCATTCCCAAGGAACTATACGCCCCACCTGAACCAAACTTGTATGGATGATGCATCTAGGGATGGACACTACCACACTTGCTTTGGATGCTGGATCTGACCTAGATTTTCCAGATGAGTGACCAGGTTAAAGTTTTTGGAGCAGATCCATTCCCAAGTAACTATAAGCCCTACCTGGACCAAACTTGCATGGATGATGCATCTAGGGATGGACACTACCACACTTGCTTCGGATGCTGGATCTGAGCTAGATTTTCCAGATGAGTGACCAGGTTAAAGTTTTTGGAGCAGGTCCATTCCCAAGTAACTATACGCCCTACCTGGACCAAACTTGCATGGATGATGCATCTAGGGATGGACACTACACACTTGCTTCGGATGCTGAATCTGACCTAGATTTTCCAGATGAGTGACCAGGTTAAAGTTTTTGGAGCAGATCCATTCCCAAGTAACTATAAGCCCTACCTGGACCAAACTTGCATGGATGATGCATCTAGGGATGGACACTACCACACTTGCTTCGGATGCTGAATCTAATCTAGATTTTCCAGATGAGTGACCAGGTTAAAGTTTTCGGAGCAGGTCCATTCCCAAGTAACTATTGGCCCTACCTGAACCAAATTTGCATGGATGATGCATCTAGGGATGGACACTACCACACTTGCTTCGGATGCTGAATCTGACCTAGATTTTCCAGATGAGTGACCAGGTTAAAGTTTTTGGAGCAGATCCATTCCCAAGTAACTATAAGCCCTACCTGAACCAAACTTGCATGGATGATGCATATAGGGATGGACACTACCACACTTGCTTCGGATGCTGGATCTGACCTAGATTTTTCCAGATGAGTGACCAGGTTAAAGTTTTTGGAGCAGGTCCATTCCCAAGTAACTATAAGCCCTACCTGGACCAAACTTGCATGGATGATGCATCTAGGGATGGACACTACCACACTTGCTTCAGATGCTGAATCTAACCTAGATTTTCCAGATGAGTGACCAGGTTAAAGTTTTTGGAGCAGGTCCATTCCCAAGTAACTATAGGCCCTACCTGAACCAAACTTGCATGGATGATGCATCTAGGGATGGACACTACCACACTTGCTTCGGATGCTGAATCTGACCTAGATTTTCCAGATGAGTGACCAGGTTAAAGTTTTTGGAGCAGATCCATTCCCAAGTAACTATAAGCCCTACCTGAACCAAACTTGCATGGATGATGCATCTAGGGATGGACACTACCACACTTGCTTCGGATGCTGGATCTGACCTAGATTTTCCAGATGAGTGACCAGGTTAAAGTTTTTGGAGCAGGTCCATTCCCAAGTAACTATACGCCCTACCTGGACCAAACTTGCATGGATGATGCATCTAGGGATGAACACTACACACTTGCTTCGGATGCTGAATCTGACGTAGATTTTCCAGATGAGTGACCAGGTTAAAGTTTTTTGAGCAGGTCTATTTCCAAGTAATTATAAGTCCTTCTTAAACCAAACTTGTATAGATATTGATCTTGGGATGTACACTAACTAGAAAAAATATGATGTGAGATTTGCCTTACTTATAGATAACCTTCGTCGAGGTGAGCTTCGTAATCTTTGATTACCTATGTTTTCCTTTACACTGTCGTTTATTAAAAATTTAGTGTCAAAATGTTCAATGATACGTAATATGAGTAATGTTTATTACCTGCAGGTGTTTCCTTGTATTTAAATTTGTACAGGTATCATTGACAAATAAAACTCATGGACATATGTGTACATTTAGTGAAAGTTTACTGAAGGGAGTATTTTCCTTACTTGTATATGTACAATGTGTAAGAAAGATTTAGAGTACTTTTTACTGAAAACTTTTGCATGGTAGGTTCGTACACTGATGTCTGATCTGTCCACCAGCATAGAAAGTGAAACAAAAAAGTCAGAATTGATTTCTAGTCAGGACAACAAGATAAAAACACTGGAAACTAAAAATCAGGAACTGCTTCAGAAAGTGGAAAACATGATAACTACCAAAGACAGTGAGGCATCCGCAAAGATGGATTCTGTCAATCAAATGCAGGAACTGGTAGGAAATTTGAAAGAAGTGGAGGCTGAGAAACTGAGATTAGAAGTCCAGTGTGAGGAATTAAAGAAAGAGAGTGATTCAAGGAAGCTCTGGATTGAGAAAACCGAGAAAGAAAAGGCTGAAAGTGAGGAAAAATGGCAAAATAATGTGAATGACTTACAAAGACAGGTTAAAGAATTAAAAGAAAGTGCATCTTTGGAAAGAGAAAATAATGAACAAAGGGTAAAGGAATTAGGTGATAAATTGAGTGATTTTGTGACTAAATTTGATGGTGCTGTAGAAAAACTTAAGATATTAGAATATGAAAAGGCTGGTTTGGACTCTGAATTAATTAAGAAAAATTCCTCTCTGGAAGAGAAGGAGAAACAGGTATCTGAACTTAACAATCAAGCTGAACAAATGAAAAATGAACATGACTCAAAAATAGCCAACCTCAGTGAAAAAATTAAGATTCAAACAGACATTGTTAAGGAAAAAGATGAACAGTTAGATGAAAATTGTTCTAAAATATCAGGTTTGGAATCATCATTACAGGACAAATCAGACATCTGTTTAAAATTAAATGAAAAAGTATCACAGCTTTCTCATGAAAAAGATGATTTTGAACAAGTTTGTGCTAATCTAAGGACAGAACTAAAGCATGCCAATGATAAGAATGAACTGGTCAGTAATTCAAAGGAAGAAAATCAGAGGCTTGTGGAGGAAAAATTACAGGTTATTGAGGAAAAGGATAAAATGATAGAGAGTATGCTGCATTCAGTGAAATGGGTTATATCAGAGGATGGAGAAAATCAGCTAGGGAAGGTGAGATTTCTGTAATGCAAATGTTAATTGTACCTTGTACATATTCTAGATAAAGAGTACATTTTTCTCCAAATTGTGAAAATTATGTATTTTTTGAAAACTAGTCTTTAACCAAACACAAAATTTTGGTGAAAAGATTGACCTTTATAGTAATTTTTTTTTTGTCATCTGCAAAGCATCTGCCAGTTCTTCTGTATTGAATAATTAATGTCTTATGTACTATTTAATAATTAAAGGAAACTATTTAGTACTTGCATTGCCTGCCAAAGGGCCTTTTAAAAAGTACCAAAGTTGTGAAACTTGATCTTTGACCTAAATTTTAAGAATATTTAACATTCCCAAAATACATTATATCATTCCATATTGCATGTCCCAAGTCTCTTAAAAAATATACCAGAGTTTTTGACCATGCGACCTTGAACTTATTCTTTTGATTTATTTTTTCTTTGAACTCTGGTTTTATCTCTGATGGGTACAAATTTCCTCTACTGAAATATCTTTAAAAAACTGTAACCATGGTTACTGTTTTAATAATAGCATATTTTATTTTTTAATTTCTTTTCATAGGCCCCATCTGTTGATGGAAATCCTGAATTTTCTTCTGTGATTGGAACATTATGTGAACAAATAAATTCAGTAAAATGTCAGTTAAGTGAAGTTCTATCTGAAAAATCAACTGTTCAAAATAAATTGACTGAAAGCAATCAGACCCTAAAAATCCACAATGCTCAAATATCTAAACTACAGGAGGAAAAACTTAGTTTACAGGGGGTTATTGAAACCTCAAAGAGTCAGCAAGATGATCTTCAACAGAAAATATTAGAGAAGGATAGGACTTTGTCAGAAATGGAAAACAGAATTAGAGATTTACAGCAGAGACTAGGGGAATCTGAAACTACACTTCAGAAAACGATAACAAAATGTGATGAATATAATGCTCAGAACATCAAATTACAAGAGGAAATTGTATTAAAAAGTAGTGATATAACTGCTTTAAAAGAACAATCTTCAAAGACTGAAGCAGAGCTGCAGCAAAGCTGTAAAACCAATGTAGATAATATTGAAAGTAAAAAAGCTTTAGAGGAGAAAATTCAGCAACAGGAAAAGGTTGTGTCCTCCCAGTCAGAAAAAATAAGGGAATTACAAAGCAGTAAGGCAGCATTAGAAGAATGTGTGAAAAGACATGAAAATGAGGCTAGGCAGTGGAAGGAAAAGTATGATGTAACATCAACTGAACACGGACAACAGTCCAAGAAAATGGAGAAACTCCTGGAGAGAAATAAGGAACTTCAAAGAGGTACTGAGGAACTGCAGAAAGAAAAATCTCAACTAGAAGAGAAGAAGAAGGCGGTGCAGACAAAGCTGTTTGACTTGGAACGTGAATTCTCACTGGTTCAAGATGAAAAGAAGAAACAGAATAAAGAACATAAGACAGTTTTAGATCAGATGGAGAGTGAGAGGACAGACCTGAATGTGAAGCTAGAAGAGGCTCTTAGTGAACTTCATACCTTCAAAGAACAGCTGAATGACACTTCATCAGAATTAGAAACCGTGTATAGTGAAAAAGAGAAAACAGAAACTGAAAAACTCGAGTTAGAACAGCAGTTAGATAAGTTAAGAGAAGAGTTTGGACAAAGTGAAATACAAAGAGAAGGCGCTGAACATGATCTTAGGAATATTCAAGAGGAAAGTAGAAAACTTATGGAAGAAAAGGAGAAATTACTAGAGGATATGGAAAAATTGCAGCTGGAAAATTCAGAACTTGCACAAAAAATGGAAAAGCTCAGTGAATCAGAGGAGTTGCAACAAAGTAAAAATTGTGATTTACACAAAAAACTGAGTGAATTGGAAGAGGAACTGAAAAGAAACAACAGTGAATGGGAAGGTGAAAAACAGGAAGTAGAGAATAAGATTCAAGCACTGGGTAAAACGGTTTCTGAGATGGAAGTAGAACGGAACTCTCTGCAGGACAAAGTTAAGGATCTAGAAAGTGAATTAAGTGACACATCTCAGAGAATAGAACAATTAGAACACTCCTTAGAGGAAGCCATGTTAGAAAATCAGACAATGAAGCAATGTAAGGAAGAAGACACAGAAGCACAAACAAAACTAAACTCAGAGATTGAGACCATGAAGCAGGAAATCACAGCTCTTAACTTCCAGTTAAGCTCTGATCAAATTGAGCATGAGAAATCATTACAGGTAAATATTAAGTGAAAATAAGGTTACATACCGTTTGCATTCTCATTTTATACCCATATAAAACTATATTATCCTCATGCAAGTTACATGAACAGTGTGTTTCATATCAATTGAACTAATTTTACTATTTTTTCTCTCACGAATTTATGATTCTTAATTTAACTTACTGTAAAATCACTTATTTTCGTGGCATCAAATTTTCATGGTTTGAAAAAAAGATATGGGTTCCTTGGGATTTTATTTCATGGTTGAAGAAGTGTAGTAGTGTCTAAATCAAATAATATGAATTTGTAGATCTTTTCATACCACAAAAACAATGAAATTTAACCCCAAGAAAATTAGTAATTTCACAGTTGTTCATTTGTTCTATTCCCTGCATCAGAGCAATGCTGCCAAAGAAGCTGATCTAAAGAGCTTTGAGGAAAAACTTCAAGAGAAAGATGTAAAGGTGCAGGCCTTAGAGAAGGAACTAATGACACTGAAGAGGGACAGGGAAACAGAAAGTGAAAGTAGCAGGAAGCAGGTAACATTTGTTGTTTGTAACAAGGAATTTTCTCTTAGAGTTATACTACTGTGATTGAAGTCACTTCATGAGTGTTTGGAAAGCACATGAATGGACAGATGTTGTATGAATAATGACTTTAAGGTAATACCCTTGTGTAAAAAATTAAGCTATAAATCTTTAATATGCATTTCCATGTTTTACTATTCATACAGTCATTATAATCAATTTCCATTCATCAGATGAAATTTTTATTTTTATTTCTTTACAGCTTGACGACCTGAAGTCTAAGTTGATAACAATGGAAAAGGAAAAAGAGGCACTAGCTGAAGAATTAGCTGAGGTTATTATTTCAGAAATATGTCTTCACTGAGTTAATCAGAGCTTGAACATGTTGTAGAAAATGCATGCCTTTCTCATTGATTTGTTTGTTGCTGTTGTCATGCATTTGAGTGACTTGATTGTTGAAATTAAAATTTCTGTTTTGAATATTATTGAATAATGTTTTGATCTTTTTTTCAAATATAATTGAGAGTTTACTTCAAGTGTCAGTTTCAGTTATTATTGCTGTGTTTATGTTGGTTTGTGTTATTGTTCCTGCATTGTATTACATGTAATTTTTTTTTACAGAAAAGAAAAGATTTAGAAACAAAAGAGAAAACATGTGTTCAGTTAAGGGTGAGGGCAAAGGTTGCTATATGTTGATGATCGAGATTTATATAAAAGCATTTCTTTAATCTTTCAGCATGAAGTGATATCTAAAAATAGTTCAAATGGTGTAAATAAAATTCTACATATTGATTGAAAAGAGTTGCTCTTATAACATGTATTTTTCAATGTCACATTGTGTACATTTATGTTGTTGATAACTCAGAATTCAATTTCATTTCAGAAAAAAGAAGAAGAAAAGAATGATAAACTTAAATCTATAGAAGAATCTAAGGACAAAGAAATATCACAGCTGAAGAGTGACATGAAACAGTTAAAAAAGAAAATTGTACAACTTACAAAGTGAGTTGATTAATATATATTTACATCCACTGAATATTATTTCCGTTATTTAAAAAAAAAACCATTGCCAATAATCAGTCCAAAAACAACACTAAGCAAGCCACCTGCATAGATTTCTTAAGCAACAACTGTTCCATCAATTATGCATACAATGACATACACATCTATAATACATATTTAATATATTAAATTTACTTTGAATGTTATTTTTTAAAAGATATAAATAAAAACAATAAAATGTCTTTCTTTGCTTGTTAGTACAGGAATTAACGTCGCAGCTATTGCAGGAAAAATTCACATAATCTGCTTACACGGGTTATGTATTTTTTCTGCAACAGCTGTGACATTAATTCACATACTAACAACCAAAGAAAGCATTTTATTGTTTAAGTATAGTGTCTGACTTGTTACATGGTGATAGATCTGATCTAAACTGTGAGGTCAACATCTTTGATGTCTGACTTATGGTTAGCACAATTTATAGGTTTTTGCTATAAGATAGGCCCTGTAATTGTTTGTTTATTTACATAGAGAGAAAGATACTCTTTGGCAGCAGACAGATCGACTTACTTACGAACAGAAAATGCAGTCATCCGCAAAGTGGATGGATGAGAAAACAGTCACGAAATGCCTGGGCTGTAAACAAGAATTCACGTTCATGGTTAGAAAGGTGCATGTTCTGTTTATTTAAAGTTTTTATTTTAGCTGATTTCCTGTGAGTTTTAAGTCGAAACTATTTTATGAAAGTTTTGCTTTTTTCCATGAGATTAGGAAGATTTTCAATGTTCAACAAAATACAGTACAATGAATATATTTGAGCCTCTGAGGATTATTTAATTACAGTAAAACACGCTTATAACAAAGTGCCAGGGACAGATGATTTTGCTTCATTATAAACATAATTCGTTTGTATATACGTTAGTTTCAAAATATATTTTAAAATCACGGGGAATGAAAATTACTTCTTTGTAAGCGTCAATTCATTATAAGTGTGTTTAACTGTATTATATTGCTTTTAAATGCACGAACCTATGCTTCTCATACATTTGGTTTTGAGCACTATCACACTTTTGGAATGCCACAATTTTTTTTGTTTGTTTGTTTTTTTTTCACACATACATATATGTAGGTAAATATTGTTTTCTGATCTTTTTGAAGTCTGTGTTGTGTACAAAATAAAATCTTACTGCATTTTAAAAGAAAACAAGTTGACAATATGTTTGAATGTTCTATATTGTATATACGTGTAGATGAACTTGCAAGAAAAGATACTGTATAAATGTAGTTAACTGTATAATGATTCTTGATACATTAGCCACACATTTTTTTAAACTTTAATTAAATGGTTAGTTTTATTTCAGCACCACTGTAGGTTATGTGGAGGAGTCTTCTGTCACAACTGCAGTAACAATTATGTGGACTCTACTTATAGCAGGTGGGTGGTTATTACTTATGTATATGTTGACATCAGTATAAAACATGTCCGTGATTAAGAACTCGAGAAATATTTCAACTTGGATCCACCATAAATTTCAGTTTAGATTTCCCAGAATTTAACAAGTTAGTATTATATGATAATATTTTGCTGACATTTTCTTCCTTTATATATACTTTGTTAATATTTATTATTGTTCTGAGTCTGTCAAAAAATTGATTGTTACTTGTAATTTCTTCTTGGCTTGCCATTCAAAATTGAAAACTCAACATATTTATACCCCCTGCAAACAAAGTTTAGGTGATATATAGGAATCACCTTATCCATCTGTCTGTCTAACTGTTCATCTGTCTGTGCAATCGTGTCTGGGCCATAACTTAGTAATGGAGAAACATTGGAAGCTCATACGTGAGGTACAAAGATTGATGTGTCGTAACCTTGACCCAAGGTCATTCTGGCAAGTTCAAGGTCACTGGCAGAAAATTCCAGCATAGAACTCCCTAATGGAGAAACCTTGGAAGTTCATACTTTATTCAAAGATTGACTATGACCTGAAGGTGTGTCATGACCTTGACTGAAAGTCATTTGATCAAGTTCAAGGTCACTTTAACAAAAATACTTCAAATTCATCACAAGTTGACTGCAAATTCATACACAGATTACAAATTGAAATTAAAATCTAGCTCAAAGTAAAATATATATTTTAATGCATATTAAGCTTTGGACAGCCTTAACATAGCTGTGGACCTAAGATCATTGTGGATCATTCAAGGTCACTGGTAGAAAAGGTGTAAGATTTGTATCCAGTTCATAATTCTCTCATGGATAGGTATTGGAAGTTGATACTTCAAAGATTACTTGGATCTGAGGGTATATTATAACCTTTACCCAAGTCATTCTGGTAAGTCCAAGATCATTCTGGTAAGTCCAAGGTCACTGGTATAAAAAAATGTAAAATTCATGTGAGGTTCACAACTTCTTAATGGAGAAATATTTGGTGTTCATATTTCATTCAAAGATTTTAAGACCAGACAATGTCCCTTTTTTTAAATCAAGTTCATTCTGGCAAGTTGAAGAACACATTTAGAAAATTGTATCTGGGCACTTAAAATATAGTGCAGCAGGGGGTATAATTTTGTGAACTTGCTCACAGTACCTCTACTTATGTGTATATACATGTATTTATGAATGCTCTCCAATGACATGCATACATGTATCAACATATTTACATACATAAAAGGTGTATAATATATATTTGAAAAAATACTCAGTTATCATGTATATGAACATGTAGTTGTATATACATGTACAGTTGAACTTCAGTGTCTCAGATATTAAAATCTTGAATACTAAGGATATATCGATGGAATTTGAAGTCGACCAACATTTTTTTTATCTATTTTAACCTCAATATCTCTAATCTGCAGATATCTCAAATTTTTTCTCTTGGCTCCATCGAGTTTGAGATAATGATGTTTGAATATATTTGTATAAAATGCTGATCTGTAACCACACATACATTAACATAAACATATAGAAGTTTATATTTGTAAATACTCTGTAATCACAAACATTTATGATGTGTATTTTTTTTGTAATTACTCCTTTATCACATATATCAACATATACAGTTGTACAGTATGTATATGTGTAATAATATATAGGTGCATAAATTTGTAAAAACTGTAACCAAATACATCAACATGTACACGTAGGAATATATATATATATATATATATATATATATATATATATATATATATATATATATATATATATATATATATATATATATATATATATAATTCTCCACATCGCCGATTACTGGTACGTGCATTCATCTGCAAGTAAATGGTATAAAATTAACAAAACACTGCATAATATTTTCATTAATTATATCTGAAATTTAATTATGATATAACCCTTTGTTTCTTATTTTTAATTAGCTTAAGGCATGATAGGTAAAAAGTTATGTACAATACTTTCTTTTTGCATTGCTTTGCCATTGGTTTCAGTAACTGGTTCTACATCTCTACATTTGCTTTTAATTGAAATGCCATCTATGGCTTATTGAAGAAACACACTATATTTAACAAGCATTAATGTCTGCTTCACTGTGTTATATATCAAGTTCCATTTTCATTAAAAGTGGTAATACATGTATGTATGTACATTTAATCTACAATTATGTCAGATCTGTATAATGCATGAGATTTAAATTGACACTTGCAATAGAGAAATTAATAATTATCAAATGTATTAAAATTGCTATTGAAATCATTAAGCAATTCTTCTAAATGCAGATTTGTACAAGGACAAATCAAATTTAAAACACTAATTTAACCAACATCACTTACACTGTATAAAGAAAGCAGGATGTAGTTGTTCCAATTGCTGTAAACATCATTGAGATTGCTGTTAATGTCATTATGATTGCCATAAACATCAATGCAATTGCTGTCAATATCATTGAGATTTTCTTTCAGCAAGAAGTCCCGAGCCTGTAATCTGTGTTACCAGAAATACACAAAGTCTGATGCTCTGAGTTCCTCGATGATCAGCCGGCTGCAGGAGGATGAAGGACTCGAGGACTCAAGTGAGGAGGAGCAAACCTCAACTAAACTCCTCAGTAGTCATCAGAATGGTATTCACTTTTAAGAGAGTGTGTTTAAACATACATGTATACCGGGCCACACATGAATATTAGAACCTTAATTTAGTTTAGTTAATATAAAAGTACTTGAAAAAATTGAAAATGTTTAAATATCTTTTATAAATGATATATCAGATGTTTTGTGTTTATATTTATAATACTTTTAATAATCCTGACATTTTATATTTAACTTGAAGATAATTATCAAATATACAGTATTTTGAATTCTTCAAAACATTGTCATTCTAATACATGTATCCTCATCTATATCAATACTGTTTAATAGTAGATGCAGGAATTCCTGTGCCTAACATAGACAGTGCTAGTAAGAACCAGAATGAAACAATAACAGATGCAGCCCAACCCCAACCAGTCCTAACAAATCCTCCCCAGAAAACCTCCACTCCAATCAAAGGCTCTGATGTTCAAACAGCTGCTTCAGCAGTTCCTGAAGGTGATCCACAGGATAGCAGAAGAGTGGAACCAGATGAGGTCATGATACCAGGTCAAGTGGCTGCCAATATATCAATCTCTGTTGTCGGACAAAATGAAACAGATGAGATCAAAAGGGTCAAAAAAGGAAGTGTTGGGTAAGAATTCATTTTAAAATGTGTCTCCATGTAAATGTTACTTGTACCTTGTGTCTGGCACTGGTATCTTGCCATAACTGTTGCTACTAGAAGTTCTGCCTAATGCCTAAATGAGGAATGATCCTTGAATTACTAGATGCTTGATGTACAAGTATATCATCTTATTGCCTGCATGATATTGATTTCAGTATCTTATAAATCAGTTGCTCAATTTATTATTTGTATATTTTTATGACATGCTCATTGAAGCATTTTATGGATGAAGAATCATGATTATGATGAACATAAGGCTACTGCTGTAGGACATTAAGATTTACTACATTTACTGCTGTAGGACATATGGATTAAGTACATTTACTGCTGTAGGACAGTAGGATTTACTACATTTACTGTTGTAGGACAGTAGGATTTACTATATTTACTGCTGTAGGACAGTAGGATTTACAACATTAACTGTTGTAGGACATTAGGATTTACTTCATTTACTGCTGTAGGACATTAGGATTTACTACATTCACTGCTGTAGGACAGTAGGATTTACTACATTTACTGCTGTAGGAAAGTAGGGTTAACTACATTTACTGTTGTAGGACAGTAGGATTTACTACATTTACTGCTGTAGGACAGTAGGATTTACTACATTCACTGCTGTAGGACAGTAGGATTTACTACATTTACTGTTGTATGACAGTAGGATTTACTACATTTACTTCCGTAGGACAGTAGGATTTACTACATTTACTGCTGTAGGACATTAGGGTCTACTACATTTACTGTTGTATGACAGTAGGATTGACTACATTTACTGTTGTAGGACATTAGGATTTAATTACTACATTTACTGTTGTAGGACAGTAGGATTTACTAGATTTACTCCTGTAGGACATTAAGATTTACTACATTTACTGCTGTAGGACAGTAGGATCTACTACATTTACTGTTGTAGGACAGTAGGATTTACTAGATTTACTCCTGTAGGACATTAAGATTTACTACATTTACTGCTGTAGGACAGTAGGATCTACTACATTTACTGTTGTAGGACAGTAGGATTTATTATGGACAGTTGGATTGACTATATTTACTGCTGTATGACAGTAGGATTGACTACATTAACTGTTGTAGGACAGTAGAATTTAGTACATTTACTGCTGTAGGACAGTAGGATTTACATTTTCTGTGTAAGACATAAGGATTTACTATATTTACTGTTGTAGGACAGTAGGATTTACTACATTTACTGTTGTAGGACAATAGGATTTACAACATTAACTGTTGTAGGACAGTAGGATTTACTACATTTACTGCTGTAGGACAGTAGGATTTACTACATTTACTGAATTATGTTTTTAGGGATGGAAGTGAAGGTCTGTCTAAGGATGAGATCTTCCACCTGGTGAGTGATGAGGAAGTGGCCCGATCCCAGAGTGTTTCCTCCTCAGAATTCCAGTATCAGGATCCAGATCCCAAGTACACACTGACTCAATATAAACATTGACTTCATTTAAATGGACTACAATGTCTTTTATTGTACTCAGTCCATATGAATATGGATCAGTGCTTAAGGTTTTGGAAACACTGGATATGAATTTGATATTTCTTGCATGGCATTCTTATTATAATTTTAAACAATTTTAGCTACAAGTAGCTTGCAATGCAATTTGTTTATTTGTTGCAAAAAAAATCTGCCAATATTTTTTTTTTAAATTCAAAACAAAAAAAAAACTTGAAAACTTTTATCATTTAAATAAAATTAAAGGCACTGATGCCATGTATTATATATGTACTTGATCTCATGCTGTTTTCATGACTTGTTCCATAAATAATTTTTAAAAAAATTGTGAAATGGAGAAGAGCAATTCTACAATTCTGTTATTTATAAGTAAAAATAATTTTTCAATTTTTGTAGTGTCACAACTGGCATAACCATAAAGGCAGAAGAACTGGAAAAAGGGGAAGTGAACAATTCCAGTGAATTCTGGGTAAAGGCTGGAAAAAGTCATGCCATACCTGTAGTCATTGACAAACAGAATACCGTACTATGCTGGGAATTTAGATCTCATCCTAAGGTTTGGATGAACAAATTATACATGTACATTCTTTTAAAAAGAAGTTACTTATTAAATGCTAGTTGATTTATATATTAAATTGTATAGAATCCAGATTCATTATCTCAGTACATGTTTCTCAGTTTACTCTCAACATTGAATATATTCTTCTAAAAATTTACACATCTCGATATGCCTAACATTGTCTGAATATAGGGGTGTGCAATATTACCGGTATATTGGTATATTGCGGTATTACCCACCGCGATAATATATCGCGATATGAAAATCAAATACCGGTATTTTACGATATTTATAAAAATATATAAAAATTTCCTTCATTTTAGAAACTGCTGAAATAATACTTGTAACTTCATCAGGGATTTTCAATTTCGTTAAAGAACCAATGTGAACAAAAAAAATCACTGATCAATGCAGTGGTGACTGGGCTTAATACTTCGTCAGCTTTGAGAGAGAGAGAGAGAGAGAGAGAGAGAAAGCTTTTCTTTCACTGTTGTAATTTTCATTATCTTACTTTAAAATAAAATTAATAAGACTTTAAAATAAAATTAATAAGAAGGAAAATATATAAAAACCCATTTTTTACTGGGTATATACCATGTTGACCCTGGTTCATAAAATCTCACGTGGAATCCAGGTGATCGACGTCGCGATGAAATGTTAAATTCAATATACGTGTACATATTACAAGTAAATGGCCATCGATGTTTTCACTTGATGCAGTGTTGCATTAATTATCTTTTAATAACTTTCATGCCATTTTAAACACCTTCATGCTATACCAGGAACATGTATATTAAAACAGTAGATATAGGACAGTCCCTGATCTTAAGTCTTTATGTGAAATGAGGTTGGGTTAGACTAATATACCAAAACGCATGAAAATAGGTCACAACCTTTTTCTTTAATTTTATTCTGTGACCATAATAAAAATTTCATATAATATGCATTGTTTTAATTTTTAAGTGACATTTTATGCTACTTCACCCCCCACCCCCCCCCTTCCCAAAGAAAATTTAAAAAAATAAAAAAATAAAGACTGAGATAAAATGTTAAAACCTATATGTACATGTACTTTATTTTTATTTCAATGTGAAAATACTCCAAGAGAGACTCGAGTTCATTTTTGTTTCATTATTTTACCTGTTATTTGATTAAAAGTAAAGTGTTATTAAAGGTGCTTAGACACAGATTTGAAGTTAATATTTTCTTAAATTTTCTGTATAATATCACGACTTATATATTGCAATAGCATTTCACACGAAAATATAATTAAAAACTTATTTTATCTGGAAATTATTGGAACTACGAATTCCTGGACGCGTTTGATTAACACATCCTTGCACTTTCACAAATTTTATCTTTATCCATAACATTTAAGAAAAGAAGCGATTTTGTTGTGTATTAATGAAAAACATTATATCTATAATCCAGAAAATTCAGAGTAGAAATGTGCGAAAGCAAACCCCTCACTAATATCGTCAGCCCGTGCTCAGTGTTGTGTACAGAGTTTAACAAATTGAATACACCCGTGAAACGTAAACTGTTTTTGTAAACAGGGCACGAGCTCTGTTATTGTTAATGTTTACGATTCACCGGGTGTGTTCAATTGTTAAAGTCTGCACACACCACTGAGCACGGACTGACAATACTGTGAGTGGGTTTTGCTTTCGAACATTTCTACTCTGAATTTTCTGGATTATAGTTTTAATATTTTTCATTAATACACAACAAAATCGCCACTTTTCTTAAGTATTAAGAATAAAATTAAAATTTGTGAAAGTGCAAGGATGTGTCAATCAAACGCGTTCAGAAATTTGAAGGTTCAATAACTACGAGATGAAATAAGATTTTTATTATATTTTAGTACGAAATGCTAAAGCAACATATAAGTCATGAAATTTTACAGAAAATTTGAGAAAATATTAACTTCAAATCTGTGTCCAAGCACCTTTAAGTGCAATGTCTTATTTTCCTTCTTAAGACTTAAACACTGTTAAAGATAAATTCAAATAGTCTTTGAACTTGATAGCATTTCAAAGTTTCTGCTCAAATTTATTAATGATAATTAATTTACAATATATCGCAATATATTGCAATATTCAAAGTAAAATATTGCAATATATCGCAATATGGTTTTCACCCGCAATACCCAACTCTATCTGAATATATTTTAAAATGCAGTTTTACATATTTATCATGGAAAAATTATCATTTTGTGATCCCAGTGCTATAATTAAAAAGGATTTAATAATTTTACCCTGTCATTTAGCATGAAAATGATGAGGCTTTTCATGTTTTATCTACAGAGTATACTCACCAATGACATCTGGAATCTATAGGTTTATGTTTAATGATATTTGCAACTAAGAATCATATGAAATTTTATTACATCAGTCATAGTGAAGTAACACTGAAGTTATAATTTACAATTCCTTCAACGTCTCCCATACATTTAAATGTTTATAAAGTATGCATCAATTTATTTGACTGCTTTGGTTACAGGATGTGATATTTAGTGTAACATATGTGGAGTTTGATAGACCAGACCCTGCCATCACTCATTGCCTGGTACCAGCATGTAAGTGTGACTCTCATAAACAGGCTGTTCGTGGGGAACTAACAGCCAAACAGACAGGGATCTACACATTGTTGTTTGATAACACCTACTCACGGTAAGTCATAAAATCAAGAGAAAGTCCTTGATCAACAATTAGATAAAATAGAAATTTTAAAGCATGGTTTACTTTTAAAGCCATTTGTAAAGGAAGTATACGGTTTTATTTTCAGGATAACTGCCAAAAAAATATGTTACTCCTTGTGGACTAGGCATCTTGGAGACTGAAATTATCCTCTAGCGTTGTTAGAATTATTTACCTAAGTATTCATAGTTCTTGACATAAGATAAACAAATTTTTATTATTTTATTTATATTACTACCCATTTGTGATAATTGTATTTTGATTAAAGAATACATTGTATTGGGAATTTTAATTTAAATAATTTTAATCTTCAAATACAAGAATGTACACAGTGTACTTTTAATAGAAGATATTTATTTGTTCATACATATTAATTTTATATTTAATTTTATGGGAATTAAATAAACTGAAACTTTGGTTGTCTGACTTCATCTTTATTGCTTTTTTTTAAATTAAATAAATATTTCTAGTATTTATGAAGTGATAAAGAAATAGGTAAATTTTCCCAAGCTGATTTTATCCTGAACATTACATAAATTTCTGTAGAGTTAGTGTATTTTATTTTAGCATTTTATACACGTAGTTATTTTGAAAATTGTAAAAGTTAAAAAGATAAAGTTTATGAAAAGACTTGACACGCATGCACAGTCGGGCAACCTCGTAGGCCCTAGCCATAACTGGAAGCTAAATTCATTACAAAGGCGTTATTTTAATTCCTTAAAGACAAGTCGTAATTCTATTGGTATCATCTAAAATGAAGTAGAACAGACAAAAATTTAAATTTGTATGATGTTGGTGACAAACATATTGCCGTCCTGTACAGATTAGAACCAACTCTGCACAATGTTGTCTCCGGATGCAAAATAATACACATATTGTCAGCGGCTGCAGTATATGCTTACTCTCACCTCACATATTGTTGCCTCGCCATAAAAGTGAAATGGTTATTTGAAAATAATGCCGAGAATTATATCTTATATTTTCATAACATCGCATGTTCACTGAAAGATAGGGCTTTTAGTTTGCACAACTGTAGTGAATTTCCTTTTTTAACTCCAGTTATATACAAATCCTATAGAGAGGTGCAAATAACATGATTATTATTGATTTATAAAAGGTCGTCGGCGACAATATATGATACGAATATATGATGCGAGAGAGAGATTATTTGCTTCGGTCATAACAACAAAGCATATTATTGTCGTCATATAACAAACAAATCTCTAATGAAAAAAGGGAACACTGTACATTTATTGACTGGGTTCGAGGGCAACATGCGTTTTGTTGGACCCAAGAACCAAACTGCCCGAGGCCGTTAGGCCGAAGGCAAACAGTTTGGTTCGAGGGGTCGACAAAACGCATTTTGCCCGAGAACACAGTCAATAAATGTTTTATTATACCTTTTATTTATTTAATATTTATTCTTTTTTGTAATACATGTATGTTTTGCTGGCTTCCATACCAATGAATGGAAATAAGATTTTGCTGATCCCGCCCACAGTGTGACGTAAGCAGTCCAATATCTCGTCCACGGGTCCAATTTCTCACTCTGCGGTCAAACATCGATTTTTTATGACAGCTCAGTAAAACATTGGAAATGTTAAGACTTTTTTTTAGTATAGATTTATATAGGAACTAATTACAATGAATAATACGCAATGATATACACCGATAACTGTCGCAATGATATACACCGATAACTGTCGCTTTTTCAACCAAAAGAAGACCAAAAAATATATGCCAATCTACATGTATGCATCTATTTTTTTGTACGTTAACAATACAAATATTGTGGTTAGCTTTATCGTCAAAATCTAAACCAAAGTTTAGAGCTGTTAAATAAAGTTTATAAATCTCAAAATCTGACAAACGATGATTTCCACTGATTACAGAATATGATTGTTGCACAGTTGTTATCATCACGCTCAGTAATTAGGGTTCGCGTTTGATTTACCTAAACTATCTTTTAGAGTCATGAACTATAGTTTCACAGAAATTTGTTCAGTTTCGATCGTCTAACTTTGTTTCTCAAATAAAATTATGTTTATCATTTTTGGTGAATTCAGTGCCTTACATAGCTCGTTTAAAGTCTTAAACTATAGTTAAACATTCGTTATCTATAGCTTACAGTTGTTTTCCGTAGTTTACTAATCGTGAAACTGTTTTCTCAACTGAATAAACCATGTTTTACAGTTTTACACTCTCAAATAATTGATATTCTCAAGTAAATAATATTAATAATCATTTTAAATACACAACTTTCCCATAACTACATGTATATCTTGTATCACATTCCTTAATTATGGCAGTATACATGTAGATATAGAAAGTGGTGTGTAATTTGTATAATTATGAAAATTTTAACAGAATTGACCATGTAAAAGTATAATCACGATATTTTCGAACAAGTTGTGAGAACAAACTCATAATTGCCTATAGTCTCTTGTACCAAGCACTCTGTTTTAAATACATGTATATTAATTTTGTCTATTTATCTACCTTTAGAATAAATTAAATAAAAACTTTTTAGAAAGAATAAATATACATGTTTATTAAAGTATGTAACTGCTTCGTTATAACGCCTGAGTGAATTCTAATTTAGAGCACTAGCTATTAAATAAAGAATAAAAATACATGTTTATTAAAGTATGTAACTGTTTCGTTATAACGCCTGAGTGAATTCTAATTTAGAGCACTAGCTATTTAATAAAGAATAAATATTCATGTTTATTAAAGTATGTAACTGTTTCGTTATAACGCCTGAGTGAATTCTAATTTAGAGCACTAGCTATTTAATAAAGAATAAATATACATGTTTATTAAAGTATGTAACTGCTTCGTTATAACGCCTGAGTGAATTCTAATTTAGAGCGCTAGCTATTTAATAAAGAATAAATATACATGTTTATTAAAGTATGTAACTGTTTCGTTATAACGCCTGAGTGAATTCTAATTTAGAGCACTAGCTATTTAATAAAGAATAAATATGCATGTTTATTAAAGTATGTAACTGTTTCGTTATAACGCCTGAGTGAATTCTAATTTAGAGCGCTAGCTATTTAATAAGGAATATATATACATGTTTATTAAAGTATGTAACTGCTTCGTTATAACGCCTGAGTGAATTCTAATTTAGAGCACTAGCTATTTAAGAAAGAATAAAAATACATGTTTATTAAAGTATGTAACTGCTTCGTTATAACGCCTGAGTGAATTCTAATTTAGAGCACTAGCTATTTAATAAAGAATAAATATACATGTTTATTAAAGTATGTAACTGTTTCGTTATAACGCCTGAGTGAATTCTACTTTAGAGCACTAGCTATTTAATAAAAAGCGAAAGAATGAGGGTAACGAATAATGATCGATTTTTAAAAAAAACTACAACCAATGTAAAATTGTGTACACGAACCCCTGGAAATCATAATAATAATGATAAAGTTTAGCATTCCATCCGTTCTTTAAAGTAAAGATAAAAGTAAAAAATTAATGATTGCTTATCATAATATTTATTTGTTCTATATATACATACATACATACATACATACATACATATATATATATATATATATATATATATATATATATATATATATATATATATATATATATATATATATATAGATCAGTACTTTTATCATGTCACGCTCAATCATTTCACACATAAAATTAGCTCTAAAACCTTGTGGAGGTAGTTTCGTTTTCTGTTTTTACATTGACCCCCAATTCCGTTCCTATTCCGTTCGTAGTTTTTATTTTGACCTCCGATTCGATTGCTGGGGTTTCCTTGGGAGTGCTGTCTTCAGCTGACTTCAGAGTAGAGCTACACAGTCTGTCGATTACCACAGCACCGATTATAATTGTCATTGTGTTGCTTGTAGTCCGGATACGATCACTATATAACACCAAAAAGTAAGATTATCGTAGGTGTTGATTTGAATATGATAGAATTAGGAAAGAAAAAAATTATATTTGTGTCCGTCAATCACAATTTACTTAAAATGTTTTGAAAAGCTAAATGAAATATTTTAAAATGTACTTACTTGTACCATTCCAATGCCATGAGTAGACCTATGTTGTTTACTTGAACATCTAAGGAAGAGAGGACGACTAGAATGGAGACAATGCTGGCACTGGGAACGGAGGGAACAGCCAGGGAGCCCACGGATGACAACATCCTTAAATTTTAACGATAATGTGTGTAATCTATGTACATAGCTTAAACCTATTTTGTTTGGTTTGTTGATTTAGATTAAAGAAAAAGTCAGTTGCAAATATGTATATATATACATGGAGTATAAACGAGAAAATGTGATGTTTTGATGAAAATGATATAAATATCATCAACAGAATTTTATCGATCTGTTTTCTTATAAACAAAAGCATGTAACATATCAATTATAAGATTTCAGATTCAATATAAACAAAATGTATCAAAAAATAAATGCTGTTATATGCGGTACCTAAATAAATGATATATTTACCCAATTAAGAGTATCTTAGAGGCACCTAACGACATTCCTTCTAACTGTACCATAAACAGGGCAGATAAACAGATGAATATACAGCTTCCCAATCGCTCCAAAGTAGCTCCTACAGGAACAAGGAAATTGGAAATCCTGGTGTCAACGTGTAGCTTAACATCAAGTGTTCTGAGCATTTCTGGTATTCCAATTGCACTAACAATTAATAAAAAATGTGATATACTTTCCTCATAAAAATATATGATTCATTTTTTTTTCACTCGTTTCAAATGAATATGCAAGCAATTCGTTTTAAGAGGAGACGGGTTAAAAATATTCTATATGTGATCCGATATAAAAATTTGTCCAAACTTGTCATTTTAACGTATCCCCTCTCTCCCCTTGGAGAATTAATGAAATTAACACCCGTCAAAGTGCATCTCTATAAACATACATAAACGTTCAACAAATGTGAAAACGTCAGACTCTATTAACTACATGAACGTACGTGCTGGGCGGCCCAAACACAGTTAACCAGGGACGCAGGCAGGTGCCAAGGAAGTAGAAAGGATTTTTCCTTGTAGCTATGAAATAAGTAATCGGAATTAGGACCAACTGATGAAAAATGATTCCAACAGAATGAGCCAGAACAAACATTCCAAGACTGCTGAAGACGTTTTCTATGTCAGAGGCTTTTAGAATTGCTGTAGCAATAAGGCTTGCAACTCCAACAGGGGTCATCCTGAAATAAGGTATCAGAAAATATATTATACATGTTGTGTCCTGCACCTATCCTAACTATGTTTTTTTTATACATTTATCAGGTGCAACACAATAAGTAAAAACAAATACATGGGAAGCACTTGATGAGAAGTTTTTTTTATGAAAAGTGTAATAGTTTTTTAAATGAGCAATATTTGTTCCGAAAGAAGATTCTGAAGTAAAATTTGATGTCCACTCCGCAGAACTATTGGTAAGAGCTTAAAATTGATTATGAAATTTTTAATATATCTTCAAATAATAAGTGTGACTGTGTGTATTATTAGCCCTTTATTTATTTAAAACTTGATCAGCTTTCAAAAATATAGCAGGAATATGGTTACTAAACGTATATTTGGATTTGTCAGCACATAGAAACATGATAACATTAATTGAAATAAATTTAACTCACCAGATAATCCAATTTAAGAGATGAATAACAATAATGGATATGGTTTCAAAAAAATCTGTTAATGGATCAGCGCGTTTTCCTAGCTTACTCGCTGCGATACCAAACAGAATACATGCAATGATAAGCCCTAAAATACAAGGATATGGCATATAAAATATGTACAATCGTTGTACAATGCAAAAAATCAATTCCTTTTCTAGGCGGTAACTTTCTTTTGATTATGTCAAAATCTTAACCTCTTTTGTCGGGTTTTGAACAACTGTCTCCAGTCATTTTTAGCTCTACTGGTCAGAGACCAGAAGAGCTTATGCGATAGCAAGGTGTCCGGCGTCCGTCCGTCTGTCTGTCTGTCTGTCTGTCCGTCTGTCTGTAAACAATTTTTCAAAATGCTACTCCTCCTACAGTTTTGGTCTGATTTCAATATAACTTGGCACACAGGTAGACTACACTAAGATACATAATCTAGTGCATTGGTTTTTGATTTGGATGAGCGGTGTTGCCATGGTTACTAAAAATAGAAATTTCTGTGAAATTCCTTTAAAACGCTACTCCTCATACAGTTTTGGTCTGATTTCAGTATAACTTGGCACACAAGTAGACTACACTAAGATACATAATCTAGTGCATCGGTTTTTGATTTGGATGAGCGGTGTTGCCATGGTTACTAAAAATAGAAATTTCTGTGAAATTCCTTTAAAACGCTACTCCTCATACAGTTTTGGTCTGATTTCAATATAACTTGGCACACAAGTAGACTACACTAAGATACATAATTTAGTGCATCGGTTTTTGATTTGGATGAGCGGTGTTGCCATGGTTACTAAAAATAGAAATTTCTTTGAAATTCCTTTAAAACCCTACTCCTCATACAGTTTTGGTCTGATTTCAATATAACTTAGCACACAAGTAGACTACACTAAGATACATAATCTAGCGCATCGGTTTTTGATTTGGATGAGCGGTGTTGCCATGGTTACTAAAAATAGAAATTTCTGTGAAATTCCTTTTAAAAGCTACTCCTACTACAGTTTTGGTCTGATTTCAATGTGATTTGGCATACAAGTAGACTCTATTAAGATTCATAATTTAGTGCATCGGTTTTTGATTTGGATGAGCGGTGTTGCCATGGTTACTAAAAATAGAAATTTCTGTGAAATTCCTTTAAAATGCTACTCTTCCTACAGTTTTGGTCTGGTTTCAATATAACTTGGCACACGAGTAGACTACACTAAGATACATAATTTAGTGCATCGGTTTTTGACTTCTATGAACGATGTTGCCATGGTTACTAAAAATAGAAATTTCTGTGAAATTCCTTCAAAATGAAATTCCTCCTACAGTTTTGGTCTGGTTTCAATATAACTTGGCACACAAGTAGACTACACTATGATACATAATTCAGAGCATCAGTTTTTTTTATTTTGATGAACGATGTTGCCTTGGTTACTAAAAATAGAAATTTCTGTGAATTTCTTTTAAAACGCTACTCCTCCTTCAGTTTTTATTTGATTTCAATTTAACTTGGCACACAAGTAGACTATATGAAGATATATAATTCTATTTATTGCTGCATGTTGCAAAGTTTCGAATCCAAGTGCTACTTTTTCTTTGTTACATGTATATGTACAGACCAGTAGAGCTACAGTCTCATCAGAGACTTCTGGTTATATTGTGCATTGAGATAAAGAATACTAATTATGATCTTATCGGTACGTACCTAGTATATTAAGACCACCGGTGGAGGAGACCGCTTTATGCACAACTGTTATAGAACTATTGGTCCCGTTCACCATTAAAACTCTAGTGGATTGGGAGTATCTTGTCTGAGTCTGCAATAAGACCCAAATAAAAAATAAATCAGATTCTTTATCATTAAAAAAAAAGCAATTATGTTATTTCTCACGCTTTAATACACGAGATAAAAGTAACTTTATGTTTCTTAAAAGAGTGTTGATTAAAGATGTAAATAAAATGGTATGAAAATTTATCAGAACGTTGAAATTAATTCTGCAACAGCGCTGAATTTAATTTTAAAGAGATATGTGTTTATGTCACCTAGTTAATTCGATATGCAAGAGCATGTTCTTCGTTCGAACAATTTCTAAAAGGAGAGATGCAACTGACAGCTATAAGTTGATGATACAAGGATATCACCAATCTTGTTTATTGATCTTATCGATCTTAAAGTCAACATTCTGCAAATTGTATGGTCGATACAATAACCTTGTTTGTATTTACAATCTGTAATGTTGACTGGCATCTTTTATACAAATTGTTAAGCCATTATTTTAATTCATACTTTCTAGTCAACGGATTTCTCCGTTTACCCGATCATGACAAGGAGCACGCATGGGGTGCTTACCTCTCCATGGCATCTGATCCCACCTCTGATATTTTCAGGGATCTGTGTTTGCTCTGAGTTTGTATTGTTTAATTGGACTTTTGAGCACGATTCCTGTTTGTTATCTTCACAATGGTGTAAAATCTAATGAAAGGATAAAGTTTTGAACAAAAAATATGTGTTACATTTCGAATAATTCGTACCTTCTGGAAACAAGCAGTAACCAAATTATCAGGAAATAGATTTCTGGGAAAAAAATATACAACAATGTTTATTTTGAGTTTAGAGTTTCGTCATTTACGAGAGAAAACTAACAGAACAATTTGATAGTTTTTTTAAATAGACTATTAAAAAAATTAACAAGCATTAAACAGTACTGTATTAAATGAAACTTTCAAATAGTTATTCCAGAGTATTTCTTTTAAATATGACATCTAGTTTGTCATATAATTTAATAAAATGGAGGAAGAAAATTATGCACATGTATGTATATCTTACCTGATCATGTCGGCAAACAAGTCGCTAGTTTCAATGTCGGTATGTATAGAACCACTATAATCTGATCCCGATACCTTTACATCCTTACCTTTATAGAAAAATTATTCTGATTACTTTTTTTAATTACATGAATATAATTACTCAAAAGACTAGAAGAGCACTGAGCACTGAAATGTTTTAAAAGAGAAAGAGCACTGAAATATTTTATATCAATATACATGAATTATACGGAGTAAAAGTCATTTTTATTACGTCATTTTATACCTGGCTGAATGATTAAGAATACCAGGATGGCGATGATAGCTCCTATTGTGTTGGTGATTACAATATAACCAAAGGACAAGGCACTTATCCTGCCGTTAGACTTCGGATCCATACGAGCTGTGCCTATGATGTAAAATATATAAGAATATCGTTCTTTTAAAGTCCCTTACTTGTAATTTTGGCGTGAGAATGTACATATTGTTTTAAATGAACTGATTCTTGATTCATGGCCGTAGGAACCGGGGGGGGGGGACCCCCCAATAATTTTGCCGATGTATAGAATACTATAATACTATAGAAAACATAGGTACTATATGCTCGTGCCCCCCTCAATAATGACGTCTGATGACCTTTTTTTTTTTTTTTTTTTTTTTTTTTTTTGCTTGTCAAGGAATTTTTGTAGTTGATAGTGCCCCCCCCCCCCCCAATTGAAAATGTATAGTTGTGCCCCCTCAAAGTGAAATTGCTTCCTACGGGCCTGTGATAGAACATGATATTTATCATATTAACAATGCAAAGTAAATAATGTCGCATTTGTTTTGAATCCAATTTGTTTTGCTAATCATACAATGTAAATGTGTCATACCTGTAATGATAGTTGACACAACTAAAGGAAGAATTGTCATTTTAAGCATCCTCATGTAAATTTCTCCCGGTAAACCTTATTAAAAGATTCGAATTATCATCATTCATGCATAAGTTTACTGATTAAGAAAATAAGAAAATTTTATAATTAAGTAGTAAAAGTGTGCATAAGAAAGACAATGATATGTCAAAAATTAATGCAAAATTTTTTTAAGTTTCAAAACATACCAATCCATGTGAGAGCATCATTTGAAGGTTCCACGACTCTAAGACCAAAGCCTAAGGCGAACCCCACAACCACACCAACCAACACGCTAATGATAAGTCCATTTCTTGATAAAAATTCGTAGCAATTGGAATGTTTAACATTCATCTTTCATGCTTTTCTACTACGTACAACTGGTCAGCAGGGTATACCAAATGGTCAGCAGAGCATTATGACCTTTCTCCATCCATATTGCCAATGGTGCAATTAACCAATATCTGCCCTGACAACGGGAAAATGTAGACACACAAAATATGTATCATTGTGAATCAAAGCTATCATCAGTGTTTGCACTGATTTGAATAGCCCCCTTTATATTAAGTTCTTCACCGATTAGATAGTTAATATTAAACTTGAGAAGCGGGCTTAGTCATTATCATAAACAAGTGCAGTTTTAAAGTCCAGTGTTAGTTCTCGGAGAATTGGTTCACCTTATGCATAAAATGACCTTGTGCATTTACATTAAGTTACTTGTCATCTTTACAAAGTTCCAGAAATTAGAAGAGCAAAGAAAGGAAATTCGCAGGATCAGGAGCACAAATAATTGAGGAAGACAGCATCCTACATGTATCTATCCAAGTTGTACATGTTGACTTTGAAAATAATTAAATTTGGGTATTTATGCCTTGTCAACCAAGAGCTATTATAATTTTATCATTTAGTTCAAAAGTAAAGTATTATGAAATTCTGCAAGAGACCTCTCATGTCAAAGTTGTTAAGATTAGATTAGCCAATGTAAGACATTGAAAGCTGAATAAAATCAACGAATAAAAAGAAAGCTATCTCTGTGACTTATTCAATGTCGTTAAACCCACTTTTTCCGAGCAATGACTTAAAAAAGAAGCTTCTGTTCACGTAAAAGTGAATCACAACGTTCTGCCTTCGCATTCACTTTCCCTTTTCTCTCATTAAGATAAAATTATACAAAAACGTGTTCAAACGAAGGGGTAAATCAAAAAGCGAATAACGTGCAATGGATATGAACTAAATTAGTTAAATCCCTTAACAGTTATAAATACTAGAAATACATGCAAAGTAATTTTTAAAAAATGAATATCCATGTCATAATAATGCAATAATTAATAATGAAAAACACCATGAAATTGAGATTATTTTATTATATTACATACCAATAGAAAATTGTATTCAGACAACGATGTTTTATTAAAAATCCGGTGTATTAGAATTTAAGAATCCAATTTCTGAGTAATGTTTTTCTTTATTTTTCAGTTGTGCCATTTTTAAAAATTAATTCGAAAAAGTAAATTCAGTTTCGGCACATTTAAGCATTTTTAACGAATGCTTTGTTTTAGAACAACACATCTTTGAGAGTCAACGAAATCTGTGCATTTATTTTTCAGAAATTTTGTGAAAGACAAGGTTTAAGTAAATTAAGTTTATTTAAGCAATTTCAACAACACAGTTTACTTTATCTATGTGCAAAACAGCCAAAATATTTTGCATCATATTTTTGATTATATGTATATCCAGTAACGCATGAAAATCTAAACCTTCTACTTTTTAACAAAAATATGAAAAAATTATAAAAATTAAACAATTACTCTTTACCTGTAATACTTAAGATCAGTAATTCATGTAAATTGTAAAATTTCTAAATGCTTTGTCCATTTATCGTGTCTTAAAAGGACTTGTTTAAACAGATAATTTGAAGAGATTTGTCAGTATGGCAAGAATTAATAAATATACAACTAAGAATATTTCGCAAAACTACCTTAGGTACTTTTTGTTTTTTATTTATATACAATGAAGAAAATTCTCAGCAGCTAACAGAATTGTTATGTACTGTGTATCTATGTTCTTACTCTCTCATATTGTTATTGTTATAACGAAATAAATGTATACTAATTGCTTTCTGGCACTAACCAAATAATTAACTAAGAGTGCTCGCAAAGAGAATCTCTGACATTATATCTGCAAACCGACATGTAAATACTTTTAAAGATATACACGCTATATAAACTCGATTTTTTTTATGTGAAACAAAATGATTAAATGATTTGAGAAACATGATGTGTAATAAAAAAATAATTACTTTCCGCAAAGTTTTACTAAATAAGTCGTTGTAATTACAAAACAATTAAGCAAGATCTGCAATTAAGAATTCAGCCTATTCATGAATATTGATGAAGGACGTGCGTAAACAGTATATAGACACGCATGTCCGCGGGAAAACATAGACAACGAGGTACGTTGCATTTTGACTACGATTTTGGATAAAAGTTAATATCTGTCATTACAGAGTAGATGGTTAATACTGGTTGTTTTCAAAGATAAGTATCTTTAAGCATAAAACGTATGCCATCCATGTCAAAAGTTATTTTGTATACCAAACGGCCTACCTCGTTTTCTTGGCGCCATTTTTGTTTATCAATCTAAAAGTAAAGACAGTGTCACATGATGCATGAATTTAAATAGAGGCATTACTTTCCTAGTAGGATAATAAATAATTATAATTTGAGATCTTTATAATGCGTTCATTTCCAATTGTGCAATTTACAATATTTTCGTAACTTTATTTGGTAAACAAAATATAAATTACCAACTTTATTTTTAACTGACGCAAGTTATAGCGTATATATCTTTAATATTTCTATAACACAGCATGGACGTTGATGCAATCTAGAATTCATTCACCAGACTTTACGAATATTTAAGCAGATTGATTTTTAAAACTTTAATATAAATTGATTTTAAATCGACAGAGTAAACATATTGTAAATATAAACACAAAATACGAACAGGCGACAAAATGATATCTAAGATTGATGGGGAAAACAGTGGACATGTGAGGGCTTTTATTCATATATATTCGTTATATACAACAAAAACGTTAACTGTTGTTAATTACAAAATTAAGTAAGCACAAACAAAATTAAATATTATGCAGCAAAGTAGTGATCAGACTGATTATACACTATTTAAAAGCAGGTCCTCACATAATAAAGCTTTAATATGAATTTGCTCTCACGTTATACTGGTAATCAGTCGAATTGGCTTCAAACGATGTACATTGTACTAACATGGACTAACTTTTAAGCTCAAGTGAGAAAAAATGCCCAAGTGATCTTTCCCGATCACATTTTATCCGGGGTCCGTCTGTCTGTAAACTTTTTAGCTCACCTGAGCCGAAGGCTCAAGTGAGCTTTTCTGATCAAAGAGTCGTCTGTCGTCTGTAAACTGTTCACATTTTCGACTTTTTCTCAAGAACCACTGGGCCAATTTCAATCAAAATTGCCACAAAATATCCTTGTGTGAAGGGAATTCAAGTTTGTTCACAGAACGTGCCGCTCCCTCTTTCAAGGAGAGATAATTAAGAATTCGTGAAAATTTGTGGCATCTTTTAAAAATCTTCTCAAGAACCACTGGGCAAGAAAAGATGAAAATTAAGTGAAAGCTTCATTACATACTCTAGATTCAATTTTTTTCATATAATAACCTCGGGGGTAGGGCGGGGCCACAAGAGGGGGTCAAAGCTTCGGAAAAGTCAGGCATTCAGAAGGTAGATGAAGAAGTTGAATGATGAATCAGCAATAAAGAAGTTAAGGTAATCCATCCTAATAGCAAAAGATTCAATGAAATTGAATACATAACAGATGTGTAGGTGTTGAATACTCAGTATATTTATACATAATTCCCATTTATTACTATAAGTATGTAAGGGTGGGATGTGTCCTAATTTATGACCTTGAAAAAAAGTGTTGGCAACATCAAGTGGTAACGAAATTGTGCAATATCTATAGTCCAATGCTTCATAATTAAAACACATGAAAGTAGTTAAACGTGGCTTTATATCTTGAATTATTCCCTATTTATGTAAAAACAAACAAAAAAAAACTAGCTAAAATGTATTTTTAGAAGATAAAATATATTTTAAAGTATATTTTCCATCACATGACAAACACTGTAAGCAACTGAGGTCAACCAGAAACATTCTATTCATCAATTTTCTCCTTAATATTTATTCATAATGATTTTTTGATCAGCAATAATTCTAACATATTTGTTGCACTCCTGACCAAAAGAATGGGAGTCTTTAAAGTAGAATTGTGAAGCGAAAATTACATCAGAACTTGTTCTGTTGTTTCAGTGAAGTTGAGGTGGAATTACTTGAAGTATATAACAATTTTTCAGTGTGTATATATTATACATTCATAAAAAAATCGAAGAAAAGATAAAAACACATCTGAATTGATAAAATTGAAATAGAGAAGGATTTTAATAATAAAAATAATAAAATAATAATAATGAAACTGTCAATAATTTAGTTCTAAATTATTCAAATAGATCATTATTAATTAAAGAATATTTATTAGCATGAATAGAAGTCTGTTCATCATATAAATCGAATCTTACAAAAATGTGTTGCACTCCTGACCATAGAGATATATATCTGTAACACAGACAGACCCTGTAATTAATAAATTTATTTGGTATAAATGTTTTTTGCATCTTTATTTTCCAAAATAAAAACCAGAGAATCATACACTGATAAAAGTTTTTCATGCTGGGGAGCAAAACATCAAATGTTGCACTCCTGACATTTAGGGCTGTGTCAATGTATCGAATATTCAATACGTATCGATATTCAGGAATGTATCGTATCGAAAAAATAACTTCCAATATGTATCGGAAAGGCAGTTTTCCTTATAATTCTGTAAAAATGTAGGGAATTTCAGTTACCAAAGATTATTTTTAACTGTCTTGAACTAAAACTGGTCAATAATGAAATAAACATTAAGGAGATAGCACATCTTAGATAACTATTACAAAATACATAGACAACTATATTTTAACATGTTATGTTAGACTCACCCAGTTTTTATCAAATTTATGCAATAAATGTCATTTACAAGACATTTTTGAAAGACTTAATAAATAATCCAATATATCGCATATCGCTTTATAAAATATCGTATCGTATCGTATCGAAATATTTTGCTTAATACACAGCCCTACTGACATTAATTGATATGCACAGATAATTGACTCTCATTAATGCTGCTTGTGATTTATATCACATTTTAAGTTTTAAATTGTATATCAGTTATTGCTTTAAACTTTGAAAATTCTTTTTGACTTAATTGTCTTTCAGATTTTTAAAATCGATGTTTTTTGGCAACACTACATTTTTTTTCTGTTGCATTCCTGACATGGTATAACATTTTTTTCAACATCAGCCAAGACCACAACTTGGTC